AGTTGCTTCGTGTTGCCTTACGCCCGCGTTGTTTGGCCTTGCCAATCGAAGGGAACTTGCGTTACTCCTGTTCTGCAGACTCAGACTCGTTTCCTTTGTTTCTGCAGGCGGGTGTGTCTGAGGCTGAGACCGGAGGAGGATCGGGTTATGTATTGGAGCACCAAAACAGTTTTCGCCCTTGGGCTTCGCAGGTGGCGTAGAAGCCTTCATAAAACAATAAATAAAACATTTGAATGTATTAATGCGTATTGACAGCAGAAAACCCTGCGTAAAAATGTCGCCGGTTCTTGTTTCCTGAAATGTTTTATCCCAAAACACAGAGCACTTTTTTCTCACATGTACTTCAAGGCCATGGTTCCCAACCAGTAGTCCGCGTTACAGGCACGAGAAAATCCGGTAAAAATGTTTCAAGTTGAACGCTTTGGAGCATATTGAATGCAGTGAGGGACTAAGAGCTAAGTTGCCTATCTAAAATTACAGGGGAAGAGAGATTTCTGCTCGTTACTACTATTTATTCCCTTTCTGTAAGTTGTGAGCTTCTGCGTGTGTTAGACCAGTGGTATTCAACCTTTTTTGGTTCGCGTACCCCCAGATATAATTTCTCTTCAACTTTGTACCCCCAGAGTTGTTGGTGTATAATTCAAGTTATACGTAGTATATAATCTACATCTAAAATATATTAAATAAATTACATTACTGATTATTCAGTGTTTATCATAAAATAATATATATTTTAAATTTCACGTACCCCCTAAGATGTCTTCGCGTACCACCGGGGGTACGCGTACCCCAGGTTGAATACCACTGCGTTAGACTGTACATCGATGATGTTCAAATAAAGTAACACGGCTTTTTAATTATTGTTATTATATTCCAGCTTATTTTGGGCGTACTGAAGGAAATAAGAAATGGGATACGGAATGGAGTTACGAAATGAAATCGTCCCCCCCCCCCCGTTAAATTTAAACGGGGTTTTCAGTATATTCGTAAAGTGTGTCATAGTAAACCGTACAATTGACGGGGACGGTCGCGCAATTGTATGGTCAAGTTAATATATTTTATTAAGACTATTCTTACATAAGCAGTTTTATTATTTAATTCGGTTCAAGGAAATTAATATCGTGGACTGACACAGTAGACGGGCAGAAGCGTCTATAACTCAGCCGCCATTGTTCGGTGTGTCGTGCGTTCGGAGTTAACCTAACCCAACTAATGTGGTTGACCTCCTTGGCAGGCGCCAGCTGATGGCTTTATCGACAGAATTCTTGTCGGGTTAGTAACGGCAAAGCGTTTGGGTTATTCGGGTTAAGGACACGCCAGATGGACTTCGCTGCGCCAGAGATTCGCTAGTTGATGCAACAATTTATCAAGGTAAATCGGTTTAGGAATCTATCGTTACCTTGCACGAAAGCAAAAGTGCTTCAGATTCTAAGTATCTGCGAATTAACGTCTATAGATATATTCTTTCAGTTCACGATTTCATGACGTCTGATAATTTTCTCCCTAAAACACGGGATGACTTTTCACAAACGCATATTTTAACCCCAAAAGTTTAGCAGCCCTCCGAATGCTTTTCCTTCCTTGGTATGTAGGGTTATTACTTAGTTTGGCTTTAGAAGTCTTTGCAGAAAACAGGTAATTGCAGTTTACAGCTAGGCCAAGACAGCGTCTGTCTCTGTTTGGATAGCATTTCACATGAGAGATCCTTACAACTATACAATGTATTGATAAAATCAAATCCTTATGTTTTTTCAAGTTAGGATCGGATCATACTTTTGTGTTCATCTAAATAAATGTGGGCCAGCACAAAAACTTATGTGTATATAAGCTTATGTACTTACCTCTACGTCCCACTGTGTTGTCTCTTATTTTACATTTCATTTTTTAACTAAAACACTTTTGTAACACAACACGAAGCCTCATCCCCAATAAAGTCAGCTGTTAAACAGGAGACTCTGAGCTAGTTCCATCTACCTTTCAAATTTCTTACCCTTCAACTCTCACTGAGGAAGTATAATGATTAAAAAAAATTAATAACCTCTTACTAAGATCAATCTTAATGTTATCTTCCCATCTCCCCCTCGTTTTACATGACTATAGATTGATATTTGATGCTATAAGCATGTGATTCCGCTCCATTTAATGTGACACAATCTTTGTGAATTTTAAACCATCGACGCTGTAAATAAGAGGCCAGTTCCACTGTCTAACCATTTAAAGCCGAAGCTCGCATAAAAATATTTAAGAATTCAGTCCGTACCGCAAAGAAAACACACGTCTTCACCATTGGAAAGATCAAATGTTTAACGCTGGTCAAGGAAATAATCGCTATTTATACAGTGAGAATCATACGAAATACATAAATGCAGAGTTTCTGATATTTGAAGCAGGTAGGATGATGATGATGATGATCGATAATTAACAGTTTGCTTCATTAGTGTTATTGACTCGAATGTTCTTGCAGTTTCGCGGTTGGTGAGATGCTGGAAGCCCCTGGCACATAGACCAGCTGTGCGACACGCATCCTCTCAGCCCGTTCGAGATGACTGGCCTTCCTCGCTGGTGAGTCTCGTAACATTGGTATTATTGTCACGTGTCGCTCGATATGATATGCATATGTGTCGCACACAACGGTAAAAGGAATGGGACAGATGTATCTGTGGATGAGCATTCATTGACACTTCCCTGCAAATTGCAACAAGGCTCACATGCTCACATGCTCGCCTACGACGTAGGACCACGCAATAAATCCGATCGCGAGGGAACAGATTTGCTTGCTGCATTGTAATTATACATTTTGGAATAAGTTTAAAAAAGTCTTAACCCGGCCGTATATGTCAGCCCGTAGATACTTGGGTACTTGGGCGGTTTTAATTTTTGACTTAATAAAGCAATATCTGATTATCTCCGTGGAACAGGATTTATCATGAGAAATTTATAGTCGCTCAAGTAACAAATAAATTTCGTAGCGTTTCATTGAGTCCAAGTTTGATTCCAGTGTTTACAGAAGTGCCCTATCCAGAAACAGTTGAATCCAGACCACAATCTCAAATCCTACTTCTCTAATATCCATTTTAATATTATCATATGTTCTATTCCAAGACCTTGTAAGTGGCCTTTTCCGGTAAATATTCTGCATGCGCGCTACATGTCGTCTCATTTAATGTTTGGTACAAATTGAGAAGCTCCTGATTGTGTAATTTTCTCCATTCTTCTGTGCCATTTTTTTTCTCTGTTTCCAAATATTATTCTTAGCTCCTTGATTTAATGGTCTTCAGTCTATGTCCATCCATATGTTCGGCGTCCTAGTGACGAGATATGAACACGTGCTTCGTTGCTACGCGCTTACAATCGGACAAACCAGCTTCCTAGTTTCTGTTAAAGTCTCTGTGTGATGTTGTGTCTTCGCACGATGCTCTAACACAGTTATCGTATGTCCTAGTCTAGGTTCCAATGCCTCAACTTTATTTCCATCGCCTTGAGAACCTCAAATCTTGCACGTATCGACGATTGTAAGACGGAGATTGGCCGTAATCTCGGTAAATACTTATCTGACTATTCAGTACGTTCTGTCTTAGTCAATTAGACAAGTGTGTCATTGTCATTGGACAGACTGCCTCATTAGTGTAATATGTCGTCTTCTGCCTCAGTAACTTGACAGTATCAGCAGCGTCGTTCGATACGTAACCAATTCCTCGAGATTCAATATTAGTGCTTCTAATTTTTCAAGAGTCTTATCACTAAAACACAACAGTCAAAGCTGTGTGACGTTTCAGACCACCGGCAAGAACCATTTTGGTTCTGCGTGTAAAAGTGAGGCCTCTTTGATAGTTAAGTAAATTTGATGACGTCATTGGGTTTATCTTATGGAAGGAATAGCGAAAATTTCTTTATTCAGGTACAAATTAAACTCGAATTCTTAAACTGTCATTCAGAAATGAAAGGTGAGTGATTTACATCTCGTAAGGAGCAACCAAGCATTGGGAAATCTCTCGGCCTCTTACACCACAAAAGAAAGAAAGAAAGAAAGAAAGAGAACTCGGTGAAAGCTAGGAGCTGCTCTGATCACGACGAAATATGCTATCACAGAACGATGTTAAAATTATTAATAATCTCAGTCGATATCGTAAAGCTTATCTTCTTATCGATATCGGATGTGCGCCTCTAGTGACTGGCTCTGTGATCCTTCAGAACCTGATGCTCAAAAAGCAATGGAATCCTACGAGTGTTCGCTCTGGCAGTCACATCGGCCATCCACTCTGCGCTATCAAGAATCAGATGAATCTGTTTTAACCTTCAGTTCCTATGGCTATTAGCTGAAGCACGCTTTTTAAATTTTTATGTTTATATTTTTTGTCGATACTGAATAGATTTTTTATGCTGATTAACAACCATAATTACTTTATTAATAACCGTAGAACTGACTAATGAAGTCTCAGTTTTGAGTCAGATCTTGTTCAAAGCAGCGAATTGTCGCTGTAGTTCAGAAGAGACTTGAAGTACACTTCGGAGTAAGTTGCCAGGGTAATCTAGGTAAAAGCCCTGACTAGAAGAGAGAGGAAACCAATGATTTGACATTGTTCCTCAATGTCCCGTTAATGGATGCCGTAAATGATATCTGCAAGGAGTCAGAGTTGTGTGTTTCAAGATGACGTTTGCGTGTTGAAGTTATTAAGACAGTGAAAAATGGTTGGTTGAATAACGCGTTAAGTGTTGGCGAGATCAAAGTATCCTATATTAACCCTTTAGAGTCGTAGCTCGTCTAAATAATATTTAAGAATTCAGTCCGTACCGCGAAGAAAACACAGCACTTCACCATTACAGAGATCGACCGGTTAACCTTGTTTAAGGAAATAATCGCTGTTTATTCTGAGAAACAAAACGAAACCCACAAATAAAAATAAGAGTTACCTACTCAAAGCAACTGGGCTTATAAAGTTAATTAATAAGCGAATACACGGATGCTAAAAACGTGCAATATATCCACAGAGAACACTTACATTATGTGCGTAGCGCAAATCTCCAGTTTCCACCAGGTGTCCAGCACGGATGATTTTACAGTCAAATTTTTTTTGATTTCTTGTCTACAGAATGTTTCGTAAATAATCACCGTTTACACAAAATAAGTATATCACTTTTTAACTACGTAGTTACAACTTTTTCGAGTCTGCCTGTACTTTGTTTCTGTGTCAACCACCTCTCTTTTCGCCACGGCGCCAGGCGATTCGTGTTTCTTAAAGAAACACGTTTTTTCTGTCTCACTTGCAGTGGCGGATCTCAACACACTGGTGACTTGTTTGTATTTTTTTTTCTGGATGCTTGGCACACCAGCTCAGCGACACTTATTATACCTAAGGAGCTGACTGTACTCCCATATGTTCTGACACTCCGAAATGGATCGGAGAAACTCCAGGACCGAGCTGGAGGGAATATAAAAAATCACAAACACTTCAACTTCGTGACAGGAGATGAAATTTCTTGACAATAAAGCCGAGAAACCGTTCTGTTTTGCACTGAACTGCTGATGACAAGCGAACTTATTAAGAGGCCAGCGAAACTCAACCTGGCTTGCTTGTGCTTCGAAGACAACTGAAGACAAGAACTGCTTTCTAAAGATCAAGAATACGTTAGTGTAGAGGGTGTTGGGGGGGGGAGGGGAGTGGGCATTACCACCACCACCACCTGAACCACCAGCCTGTACCAAGCGCTACCAATTTCTGCCTCCAGGGGTAAAAACTGAAGACAAGCAAACAGGCACATACACGTCGTCACTTCGGTCTTCGCAAGGAGTCGATCTGCGCCGCCCACGTGACGTGCAAGACCGCCTCCCGGACATGTAAATAGCGTTCCTCCACGTCCAACAACCACCAAGAAACACATCTCTCGACGACGTGACGTCACGCGACCCTCAGCATCTCGTCCCCCCCTCTCCGCGTCTATCCCCCCCACCCTTGTTTCTAGTTCGGTCCTTCATTTGGAGTCTTCGCGAATTAAATAATCGTGCGTGCTACGAAGCCAGGTACAGTCGCTCTGAAGTTGAGACAACCTTCTAGAACTGTCTGGATCCAGCCGTCGCCAGGAAACATGGCGATCGAAGAACGGATTCTCCAAATAGGTCGTCATGAATCAACGCTGTTAATTCTGACTTGATCAGCCATTAAAATCGGCAGAAATTGCCATGCGCGTGTATCGTGTAGCGTCAAGGTCACAGCTCTCTATATGGTGGACATCGGTGTTAAAAGACAATGCCATCCCATTAAAAGGCCTAATGGATTCCGCGCCCATGTCCCCCCAGACGTGACTGATTTTCCTGAAACTTTTTAAGTCGATTATTCAGTAATGACATTTCAGTTCTTCTTTGCAGCCAGTATGAAGATGGCTGTCTTCTGGGTTATTGCGCCGTGTAGTCTGGTCGTAGTTTAGGAACGTTTCAGAAAAAGCACGCACCTCTGAAACGTCGGTATACTTCTACCATGATAGCATTGCCGGTAGCAGGTTCTTATGAACACAGTACTCTTTCTTTTGGTTTCAAAATTTGGGACTTCGTCGTTTACGTAAGCGACTTTCGACGAAAACACTGTTTTATAGGGTTAGTCACTCGTTGAGGATTGCCACATTACCTGGACGTCAACATCAATTATTTTATGACAATCTCGTTACATTTTCAAGAAATTTAAACGGTTTATATGTTTTCCTATTTTTAGCGCGTAATGATTTTAAGAAATATGATTAACGCTGATTTTGAGGGAAACTGAACATTTTGTAGGGTGTTCTCTGGTCGTGCAAGCGTAGTCTCTTCGGCTGATGTTCGTGGTGTTGAGGAATGGAACTTGAGGCGTGTCATGTAACGGTGAAGACCACCTTCAGGTGGCTCGGAAAGTCTTCGGATTGGACACGAATATTGACACACTAATGAGACGCCTTTAAGCAATTACTAAATAGGAAAACAAATAATTGAATTTGGCTTGCCTGAGCAGTATAATAAATTGACTGAAAAAGATTGTCGCCAGTCCGCCTTCATCTTATTTTTTTTTATAAAACGAGCACAAATCTGCAGATGTTATCAGAGATAATCGCGTTCACATACGTACGTCAGGGATCTCGATGTGTCATTTCGTGGTCATTATTTGAAGAAAAAACAAGCCACAGTTACATGAATCTTCATAGTAAAATTCTTGTCAATTCTGGTTGCAAATCTTCACTGAATATTTGTTAGTCTAATAAGCCCAGGTGTTAAAGGAATTATGTAAAATGTTCGAGCATGGTTTTAACACTTTTAACCTTGGTGGTAACTATATGCACCACCTAATTTAACAATCAGTTAACTCTTTAGTTTGTAATTACGCGTTTCGTATGATTTTCAGTGTGAACAGCGATTATTTCCTTAAACAGCGTTAACCAGTTGATCTTTGTAATGGTGAAGTGTTGTGTTTTCTTAGCGGTACGGACTGAATTCTCAAATGTTATGAAGACGATCTTTGGTTTCAGAGGGTTAAGGGAACTTTAAATATGACTTGGACTCTGCAGATATTCCTGAAACCCGCCTGCAGTGAATATCCTTGCATCGTAATTACACTTGTTATTTCTCGCTTTGTGGCAATTGACACAAGATTCTGGCAAACAAAGGAATTGAGGATATACGTAATGTGACTTCCGGTCGTATATACGCTGTTTCATTAATTCCACTGGGATTTAAAAACTGGTGTGTGAGATTTATGATGTGCATTGTTTAGAACTGATACGTTACGTTTTTATTAGCCTGCTAACTACTTAATTAATATTTGCGCTCACGAAATTATTGGAGGTCGCAGTTTATATGATAAGTGTCATTAACGGTGTGTAAAATCTTCGGCTTTGATTAACGTTACTGGTTATAACCGCAAAGGAACAGAATATTACTGCTTTTGGATGACAATTAAAAGGGAATAAGCAAGCTTCGTACTAAAGTGATACGAAATTATATTATCTTATTTGTTGACGTCATTCGCAGCTACAAGACGAGTGAACAAACAAATTAAAGTTTGGATTCAGCGAACAATTTTTGGCAACTCTAAGACAAAGTCACGTAAAGAGAATGTTTGTAAATTTTTTAAAGCACTTCTTTTATTTTCCAATCCCTACATGAAATTATACGTAGACACCGATGCATTACTCCGTTAAACATTACGTTAATTACAGCGAAGGATCTTTGTCAGGACAAAAGCCAAGACATGATGCATCATCTCACAGTGAAAGATAAGTCGTAGCTTATCACCCCAAGGTCAAGTCACTCGCGAGTCATAATTCTGAGAAGCCAAGACGACCGATAGTAACATTATAAATTCGATCTGTGATCATTAATCATTGATCACGATAACAGGATCTTATTGGGTAAACACAAAATTCATTCAGTGATGACATTGATAAAAGAAATACATTATTCTAGGACACGCAAGTTTATTGTCTCATGAAGGATATTCAAATTCGTAAGAAATTACGTAATTCAAGTGGGCGGCCAAGCGTGAATACCTCACACGAGAGATCAGTTGGAAGAATAGGCTTAGGTGGGAAGATAATATTAAAATGTTTCGTATATAAATGGAAAATGATCGTGGAATTCAATTCAGTTGGCTTGTGATTGGATTCTGCGGTGGGTACTTTCAAAGGTGTGGGATTTTTGAGTTGATAGCTGAGCGACTGTTAGCTTTTAACAAGGAATCTTCTCCACGGAGTTGGGAAATTAGTTCAAATAAAGATCTACTAACATAACCGAACAAATTTTGAAGAAGACGATGTGGAAAGAGTTCGATGGTACCTGCGTCGACTTGTAATGTGTGGATTCTCCGTTGTCGGGGAACCGAATTTTAATTTATTTTGTCGATGAGTTATAACACACGCGTATTCTGATTTGTTTTTAATTACGCCCTTCGTGACTTCATACATTCTCCGTTCAGTGGCGTTTTCCATCCTAAGAAAGAAACACGTGTCTTCGAGAGGAGATGAAGTGAAATATAAGTTGGTCACCTTACCTTCTGACACACCATATTAACTGCAGTATTAATGATGTAGTGTAACTGGTATTAGTCATAATTGAAATACGGAGAAAAACATTGATGTAACTTAATCAGAGCGAATTCTTAGGAAGCTCGTCGCATTACAGTGTTTTTTTAAGTCTCGGTTGATGTCTTGCGTCTTTCACAGTTCAAAATAGGGAAATAGACGTGTGTCACCCTGTATTCAGGTTTGTAAACTACCGCCTCGTCCTAATCGACTTGCAAACTTATTAGTCATAATTTAGTTAGCAATTCATTCGGACGCGGTGAATTCTTCTCGACCGTCAGCTTCGGGGCCTTGAAGCGAGTACATGTCCTCACTTGTCAACATGTCTTAAACGTCGATAATGCAGTGACCGATGAGATTACACACAACTGTTAACTATTATCTAGACAAATCTAATTAATTGTTTGCGTTTTAGGGGGTGGAGTACTTTAGACAGGCGGAGTACGGACAGTGTATGCGTTGGTGTCATACATCATATTTACTTATCTTTGAAGTGGAATGAAAATATTCGTACAGTGTGCGCTATTAAGTGGCCACTTCTGGTAATGTATAGTATGAAAAGTTTAGCCGTAATAACTTTTCAGGCGCACGGATAAATGAAAATAAATCCTTGCTTCTATAAATTTAAGGCCATTGTACTGTTGGCACATTTCTGCAGTCGAATTGCATTACGTTACAAACAAGTTTTTGCAGTCGTACGTATACTTAGCAATGGCATCAGCATTTGAAGCTTGTATAATGTACCCTTGGAGTTGTTAGATTTGGCAGCAGTGGGAGAATCGGTCCATTCTAGACTTGATAGTTAATCTACATGGAAACACTTCAGGCAATGTGTTTCCGTATTTTGAACATTCCGATTGTCCAGTAGTAGACGGCGCTTTTGGACAGCACCTGGCAACCTC